CAGCTAAGTATTTCATATTTCATTTATGTATTTTCATGCTTAACGCATGAAACAGGCTGTCGCCGAAGTGGTGCATTGGTTATGGGAGAAGCTACTCTTTCGCACTTACAATGTTCGAACCTAGTTCAAAGCCAGAATTTCGAATGTTGATTTTCAAGGTATGTAAGAAAACAAGTCTTTATCATTTTTTTTTAATCAATTCACCATAATCAGGGTGATAATGCCATTAAGACGCAAGGAGCTACTAGGAGTGAAGGAGAACGAGAAGACTTTAGAATGAACCGGAAACCGAGACCTAAACAGGAAACAAGAGAGAAATCTCTACTCCTGTTCAAAAGACTGAATAAGAGTGGGAACCAGACTATAGACGAAGAAAATTGGTGCCATACACCCTTATTTTTCTCCCAGTCACTCTTATTTGGCCCAGTGGTAGACAGCTAGGCTGACTTATTTCCGATAAACAAGTTAATCCCCTTTCTTATTTCTTATTAATTCCATGGAGAATTCCCCAGTGTTAACTGATATTATGAGCTTCACCTAACTGAAACTTAGCCAATGAGAAGTTAGTTCTTGTTTGCAATCAACCAATCAATTCACGTAACCTTATAACTAGATTCTGTAATCATCATGGCGGCTATTCTAAAAACACATTAGTCTAAATATGAGGAAACAAATTTATATTATAAGGCTATTTTTATTTATAATGGTGGAAAAGCTGACTCTTGAATACACCCTATATCGAGGTAATGTTTTCTTGCTTTTTTAAAAATAGGTTCAGAGAAAAATACATGTGCCTAGAAATAGGAAATTGTTGGTAAATGAAGAAATGTAAGTACTAATAAATGCATAAACACTAAACAATACAGTTATTTACAAATTTACTTATCTTAGTCTGGCAAAAAAAAAACACATTGCGAGAAATGGGAGTCAGAAAGACTTTGTTGCTTCCAACTTGGAAAGGCTAGCTTGATTTCAAAATCAGTAATCAATAATTTAAGCTTTTACCTGGTGACCACTGACATCTGAGAGAAAAAAAATCTAGTTATAAGAGTGAACCAACATAACCTACGTATATATATACGTACATATATATATATATATTTATACACACACACACATATGAAGGGGTGCTGAAAAGTTCCCTCTGACCAAATACCAGATTTTTTTATTCCCTTCCTAGTTGGACCGAATTATTCTAGCATTCACTGGTGTGTGTGTGTCTAGAGAGAGAAAACAGGTATCTGTTTTTAAGTATCTGTATAAAATGCTTAACATGTGGCTAAGATATTCTATAATATATATAAGGGGAGAGAGAGAGAGAGAGAGTCTACACCACATCGTAAAACAGTGGTTAGCGTTCTATCCTCACAGACTATTACCGTGAATTCGATCGTAACTGGATACCCAAACTTGTGCCTTTGTGTCAGACAAGCTAAGTTCAATAATTATCTCGAGTGGTTAACGTAGCGCGATCGTTAGCAAGATCCTCTGGAAAACTGTATGATATAGAGTTTAATCCTGAATGTTATTAATTTCTGTGGCCTCGTGCCAGACTAAAGTGGGATAGTAATTAACTATTAAAACGTATATAGGTTCATTTTGGCTTAGAACGTCTTGGAAATAAACGTACATGCGCCAACACCGCAAATATTCCACGAGATGATATTTCTGGAAAAGAAACAGCTTGTGAAGAAATGCGTCAAATTCTATGATATTTGCATTTAACCGAAGTGTTTAAAAAATAAAATAAAAAAAGAAAGTAAAATAGAATTTAGTTTTTTCAAAAGTGAAAGAAAGACTAAAGTATGAACAAATAAAGTATATAAGGAACTCATTGAATTTGAAAATTCTCCTTAAGCGATTTTTACAGTCAAGTTAAATTAGAATTAATTAGTGTTTGTTTATACCAATATCAACACAACTTGCAAAATACAACTTGTTGTCTTTTTACGTGAATTCAGCAAAAGCAAAAAAGGAACTGGACCCCTTGCTGACATCAGGGAATGTTTATAACCCAACTCCTTCATAATGCAACGGGAGATACATTCCGGTGGATGGATCCCCAGTCAAAGAAACTCTTCGTTTTTTAACCACTCATTTCCGAGAACCGTAGTTATTTTATATACCCACAGAAACAAAATTTGACAGGTAAACATCACCTTTCTACACTTAACCCCGCTCTCTCTCTAGGAAATTAGTATTTATTCACCCCACAATAGAAAAAGTCGCTGTTTTAATGTTCGTAACCCGTTTCTACACATAGGACATAATGCAGCACGCTTATTCAGAATAGTTTTTTTCCTTTCATAAAATGCCTGATTTCCTCAACGTAAACATCAGGGTTTACCTCTTACTCTACTCCTTTCACTGCCCTGGGAAGGTACCATCTGCAGGATTACTATCCTTTAGTCACCAAGTTATTATTTGCTTTGGGGCCTGCCAAAGTAGTATTTCTTTTTATTTACCAACAGAAAAATTATGACATGGACATTTCTATGCCGATTGTTACAGTGGACATAAAGTTGTACTCTTGACCTTATCCTTCCGAGTTCAACGAGAAGGTGCTGTCTGAAAGGAGGGGTTCCCATTCCAGAATCGACAAGTATTTTGTAAGAATCCTCAATGAAAATTCGTTGTTTAACTAAAAACAAAAACGTAATTTCTCAATCAACAGGGTAATTGAATAGTAACTCCCTATTTTATGTATGATGGACTCTCCTGTCTAACTATAATTTTTACAAGACGGGCGAGTCCATCATACATAAAATAGGGAGTTACTTTTCAATCACTCTGTAGTTCCCCTTACTGGGAAAATATACGCATACTTAACACAATAGCAGTTTGCAGTGTCTTTATGTCACGTACAATTGCACTTGTAAATGACTGGGAGATTCATTCGTGAATCTTTCCAATTAAAAATCAACTGCATCAATCATTGTTTGGTTAATATTTTTTGTCTGATTGTTTTTCGTATTGTTACTAGTAAACAATTAATTATTAGAAACTGTTTATTCGTCTTTATTATGTCTATCATGTTGTTTAGGTCGCACTACTTTCCAACATTCTTCAGGTGTTTTTCGCATTCAGTAACTTTCCAGTAAGAAGAACTAATGTTTACAAGTTCTGAAATTCCCTAGTAAGGACCTCGAACGTGACCTATACAAAAATGAAATGACATACACCCCTGAATGAAATACAGAGCTATTTGACTCCCTTCCGTATTGACTTTAACAGTGATGTAGTTAGGATCGTCTCCATTCTGAGGAGGAAGGTTTATTATATTACTTAGAGGATAATACCCATAAAGAAATGACGAGATTACTTTAATATGGACCTGGTCTTCTGCTTCGGATCAGAAATTCTGTGCATTCTAACTTGGACCAAACTATCAGTCCTCAACCCCCTTGACTGAAACTAAGATAGTATCTGAGAATTCTCTGAAAACTGTTATACACACTAGATAGATAGATAGATATAGATAAATAGATATAGAGAGATAGATATTGCGTTTTATGTACGTTGATTATTATTGGTAATAATGTGTATCGTACTAATAAACACTAAAATCAGTTTTACATATAACGAGTCTCACCAAATCAGCACTTTGGATTTTAATCTTCAAAAGAACAAAATAGTAGGACACTTTTCCTCCCTTCCCTTTTTTTTTTTTTTTTTTTTTTTTTTTTAATAATTATCCCATCATTGATTGAAATTCAACCGATTATTCCACCCTTGTATACATGCGAATGTGTGCGCAAAATAATATCATTTCTGTATGTCTCAATGTATGCTCCAGAATTACGAGATGGAAGTTTGAATTATTTGTTAGAATTTGTTTAAATAACTATACAATATGCATTTAATGTATGTGGGGAAAAGTATTAAAAATTGTTAGAAATTTACATATGCATATATATCTATGTATGTTCCCAATTATTGATAATTATTTTAAGTATGTTTTTTATCATCAGATTTTAAAATTTATTGTTTATAACAAAATAAAGTTGGAAAGATTCCCATTTCTCTCGGGAAAATTGCCAATTTAATGAAGATGTTTGAAGCAGGTGTGCACAAGTTGTATATATGAGAGAGAAAGTTCTAGGCCCAACCAAAGAGTTTTAAAGAATATAATGACTGGTCAAATGGTCAGATTTGGAGAAATGGGTCAAGTTGAGAGCTTTTCAGTACCATTCGCAGATAGGTTGATAAACAGTTAGGACACGGAGTCAACACTGCATGGTGAATGGTAGTTTCACACCTTAAGCAATCATTGGGCCATATATAGCTGCTCAACATAGTAGTGGTTAGCAAGTTTACCAGAATATTGATATTATTAACGAATTAATTAGTTCACATTTGTGGCCTTACACCACATTAAGGTAAGCTTAGTTAATATCTATAATATACATGATTTATAATATTTATATATTTGTATTGTAGCAAGAAAGGTGAGAAAAGGTCGATACCCAAACAATGAAATTTACTCACCATGTGACGTTGAGGTGTGTTTTCAAAATACCTCGTCTGAGATATTTTTCTTTTCTTACATTAAAAAAATATATTTTCTTCTGTAAAATCGAAGATTTGCTGAACTCAACGTCTTTTGTTGCTGATGTTGTTAATGGTGTTGTTGTTGGTGGTGTTTGTCGTCTTTAGTTGGTTGTAGTTGTTATTGTTGCTAACAGTTGTTCAAATGTTCCATACTTTTACTGTTGTTGTTGTTGTTGTTAATATTGGAGAGACAAGTAGACGTAGAGAAAGAAATTCCAGACGATAGTTTTTTGTTTGTTTTTTGTTTGTTTTTTTTAACAAGAGGTGAATTTATCGGACAATAACAACAAAAAAAAGCGACAGATTGGAGTAAAAATAATTATTTAATATATTTTTTTTTTACTTTTATTTAAATTTAAATTTATTTATTTAGATTTTTTCCTTAAGGAAGTCTTTGTTCATTCTTTTTTTTTTTTTCTTTTTTTTCTTAATTACGATACGATATTTTTTTAAATTACCAATTCGGCGTAGGCAGCCTCCAGATCATCGCAAAGAATCTGGTATTTTTCTTTCTCCTTAACTAATTCTTGCTCTAGGTTCTCAATGACTCCTTCCAGGCGGGTTACATTTGATTCGGCAGTGGACGCCCGTAATTCGGCTTCGCTCAGTTTTTCCTGGTTGGCTTCTTCTTTGACACTCTTCAAATCCAGCATTTCTTCGCTTCGAGTCAGGTCCATATCTTGAATCTGGATACGACGGTGAAGAGCCTGGGTCTCGGCCTCCATTTCGGACACTTTTTGCTCGGAGAGATTCAGACGTTCAGTGGTTTCCTCCAGCTTCTTAGACACATCGTCGAACTCCTTCTCTAAGTTGGTGTTTTTTTTCTGCAGCCAGGTCAGCTCTTCGTCCACTTTCTCTTTGGCCGCGTAGCACTCTTTGGCCTTTTCTAACTCCGCTTGCGCAGAGTCCAGTTCTTGCTCCAATATGCCGTATTTTTTCACGTGCCACTGGACTTCGTCATCCAGTTTAGCCTTCATTTTTTCAATATCCTGCATTCTTTCCAATTCGTTCTGGACAGAATCGAGCTCATTTTCCAAGTTGATATATTTTTTCTGCCAATCGGCCAGCTCTTGTTCCAACTTAAATTTCGCTTCCTCGGCTTCTTTAAGTTTTTTTTCCAAATCATCGGCTCTCTCTTGCGCCACCTCTTTCTCGTGGCGGAGAGATTTCATCTTGTTTTTACAGACATCCATGGTGAGTTATTTAGTTTTTACTTTTCGGGGAAAAAAAAACTTTTTATCCAATTTATTTTGCTCAGTAAAAAAAAGCGTTAAACTTTTTTTTTCTTTTAATTCTTATAAAAAAAAACTTTTACGTATTTTTATCGTGCGCAACTTTTGGAGAGAAGCCTTAGACTCGAGCAGCCGTTGCCGGGCGAAGACAGACACACACACAGCCTCACCAAAGCCGATGATGACGGGCAGCCTAGCCGGGCTAACCGAATAAGCAAACCGGTTGGTTGTTTGACTAGTTGATGACGAGCTGGTGCGCCACTTTTTTCTTACCCCCTTATTTTCTTATTACCTCTCTCTCTATCCGACAATTCTCCTGGTTTGTTGAAGCAGTCGTAACAGCTACAGTAGGGAGAGTAGAGCTAGTGATGGTGGCAGTAATAGTAACAGTGGTAACAGCAGTCGTCACGGCGAGGAAAGAGGAACGATATAAAAGAAGGAAGGAAGTATAAAGTTCTCGTTTCTGGCAACAGACTCGCTCTCGTTATTCATTCCTAGAAAGGGATGCAGAAGTAGTTAGTTTGAGTGCGAAAGGTTTGATGCAAGGGAGGTAATTCTGTAAGTACTGTTTCTGTCGGATGTTTTGCTAAAATATTTTATTAAATAATACTCTCTCTCTCTCTCTCAAATAACTTTCGCTGATTCTGCTACAAGGTTACAATTTACTTAAAACACTTGGTGCCTACAGGTGTCATCTCAATAATGACCAAATTCCACGCCTGCTTAACATCAGTCATCATGTAAACTGTGCTTTTGCTTAGTCTAGCTAGCACAAGGCCACTAATTGCCACGGTTCCTTCTGTTCCAAAGTGGTCATTCATCTAAGTGATATATATATATATCAAATTGGCAATTTAATGGAGATGTTTGGAACAGGTGTGCATAAGTTATAGATGGAATTCTAGGCCAGACCAAGAAAAGATTTAAAATGTTTGATGTTTCATCAACTGGTCAGATTTTAGGAACTGGGTCAAGCAAACAACTTTTCAGCACCATTTGCGGATACATTGATGTAAACTGTCTGGACATGGAAATCAGCACTGCATGATGACGGGCAATTTCACAGTTTAAGAAATCATTAGACATATATATATATATATATATATATATATATATATATATACATTATGACTTATTATTTTTAGTGGATAACCATATTTAAGTAGAAGCTCTGTTTATTTATTAAGTAGTATATCTTTATTTTTTAGCATGAATATTAGACAAATATTATTAAAGAAATGATACGGTCACCGATTTCTCTTTCTCTCCATATATATATATATATATATATATATATATATATATATATATATATATATATACACAAATATAAAATTTGTCACTTAGCTGATTGATATTATCTTCAGCATCCCGACTCCAGAGTTTCGTAGACGAACCCTTCAGCAATCGTTTCGTCCATTGAGAGAGAGGAGGCATGGTGGAGTATTGGATAGCGGCACGGAAGGAAAAATCGGAGAGTCGAGTTCGAATTCCAGTCAGGTTCATCACATTCATTTATGTGCTAATACTCATTAGGAAAGCTACGAATTCATCTCTTCTTCCCTTAAATAGCAGGATAGAGTGGATCCTATAGCCGTTAATAACAACCGCTCAAGAAGAATGACAACTCTGAATTAAATACATGAAGAAGACCGTTTGGGGTCATTGTGACATCTTTGTCTGCACCAGTTCTCTGTATTCGGCTATTTAAAAAAAAAAAAAAAAAAGTGTTGTCGGTTCAGCACAAGTCTTCACCACTACAGTCAAATCATATGTGCGGGTAGTCTGCTGGACTTTCATACGTCGAAAACTCTCTCTCTCCATATATATATATATATATATATATATATATATATATATATATATATATATATATATATATATTAGAGAGAGAGAGACAAAAGTTACATTACTCTCATTATTTTATCAACATAATTACATTTCATTTCGTTGGAACTTTCATTTTGAGGATATTTTACAAGAAGACAAGAAATTTTCAACAACTAAAAGAAAGAATAACACCAAAATTTAACATTGAAAATGATCCTCAGTTGAGAACAAATTTGCGTCACTTCTGTTTAGAGAAGGGGGAATAAAACACGCGGCCCGCGGGAAAACATTTTCGTGACCAATATTTTTCTCAAATTTTAATAAATTTGTCCCTCGCTCCTTCCATAGTTTTGCAGTAGCAGTACTGTGGCTGATCTATCCACCAAGTGAAAACAATCAATCAGCAGGGAATAGTCTTGTTCCTGTCCAGGGAAAGAAGGAAATTCGACCTCCCCAACGCCACGTATTCTTCATCAGCTGATGAGAGAATAATATCAAATAAATTTGACAATTCATATTAAGGAAAGCGGAAATAAGTATCGAATTCATATATTTATACCGAGATCATAGTGGAATAATGGCGAGCCGGGTTCGAAATACAGTCGAGTTTGTTATATTCTCTTAAGTGCAAATACTTTTGGGAAAGGTATGAATCCATTTCTTCTTCTACCCAGTAGTGTCCTATAACCTCACCAATCCACAATTAGCCAAGCTTGCTAAGTACGGATACATCCCAAAAAAACATAGTCAATCAGAGAGGGGTTTCTCCGAGGAATAAGAAAGTTCTACATCTAAATTTGTTCTAATTAGCTTATGTTCCTGGTAACTTAACATTTTTATATACAAGTTTGTTTTTTTTTTTAAAGTGAAACTGAAACTAAAGATGGACAAATTTGGCTCCTCATATTGAGGTTGGGATTTAGGCACAACAGAAAGCGAAGATTAGATCTGATCTCATATTGGAATGAAAGTGAGTACATGAAGTAAAAGACAACAAACAGAAAATCATGTTAGGAGGTTAGAGAGATGATTATTAAATAAACTGAAATTTCAGACAAGAAAGGCGTTTTATTTTATTTTTATTTTTTTTTTTTTTTTTTTTTGGGGGGGGCAACTGAAACTACAAAGAAAAACATGTCGACAATGTCAAAGAAAAGGAAAATTATCAATGAAAACTGAACTTTTTCAAAAAAAGTGGTAATATTTATATATCAGTATAAATAGGTTATATAGGTAAATAGAGTTGCTCGTTGTCCTGCATTTGAGAAATAAGGCGAAATTTTCTTTTTTAAGTTGTACTTAATAAACGACTGGAATACATGTGAAATCTTACTTGCCTGCAGGAGTCCTGGGTATGACGCTAAACTACATCCAGCAGCAAGGCTTCTGATCGAGAGATTGGAGGTTTTGAAGAGCGTGGAAACACGTCTTAATTGCTGTTGTTCCCAGGTTCACCCTGACCCAGGGTGGTAGCACCTGTTAGGGTCCCAGTTATGGGCAAATAATGAACACTATGAAAATAAAAAAATACATTTTTATAGTAAAAATACCAACATTACATATTAATACTAGAATTATTAACAATATATTTTTAAAGCAAAATTACTAACAATAAATTTTATGCTAAAATGACCAACAATACATTTTATATGAAGTTGAAGCCATAAAACTATTTTCAAAATATTCATATTTCGACATTAAATAACCCATAATGGCTGAGGCGAGGGGGCACGATGGAGTAATGGATAGCAGTTCGGATTGAGAAATCGGAGAGCCGAGTTCGAATTCTATTCAGATCCATTAATACCCTTGGTTATCCTCTTCTCCACCCCAGCTATAGGTAAATAGCAGAGCAGCCCGGATTCTATAGCCTTGGATGAAAGAAATGACAACCTACTGATACATGATCGCCTCACCGTGTATCGCGCATGGCAGTGAGTGGCTGATATATGCCGCTAAGTAGCCTCGTTTCTTTTCCTCCCTCTTTCACAATTTCTCTCACTCAAAATTACCAACAGATTTAATTCTGTTTCGTACCCCGTTGTTGGGAAATTAGTCATTTAGTCCGTTGTTGTCCCTCTCCCTCAACACGTAATGGCCCCTTTGTGTCTGAGTTTGAGACCCTTGGTTTATACATGATGGGGTGATGCCTGAATTGTTGAATTAGCCCACCAAAAATTGCTGCTTTATTACATCAATAGGTACAAGAGGCGGAGATTGGTATACGGCAGAATAGTATTTGCCATCTGTATGATCGTATGTATATCAGTGGACAGGTCTGAACACGCAAGGAGGATTACAGAGTATTAATATGGAGTTTATGTAATCTTCATACACATCTTATTCTGAAACCTGTACACATATTTATCTGTATGTGTGATTATTTATTGTAACCCAGCTGTATTAACTATACGTTTAATATTGATTAAGTATCACAATTTTATTTCCCGCCAATACGTTTCTTCTTTCAGAGAATTCTCGTCAGAACGGTTTCAACTTGAAGGCATACTGTAAATCAGTGTGATTTCTCATCTTCAACATGGCCATTCGTTTCAGAGCATGCTTGCCTGCACAGGTCCATTTGTGTTTCTTCAACATACACAAAACCAACTTGTGGTTTATACTGCAACAATGCTGAGGGGGGGGGAGCATGTTAGAGTTGGAGTATGTACACCACCAGGGTTACATACGATTTTGAGAGTCTACCTGCTCTAGAAGAGATGTATCCATATCTTTCCCAAATGTATCTGTGTGATGGTAAATGTAACGATCTCTACCTGAACTCGACTCGCTCTTCTCTAATTCCGAACCTCTAACTATTGCACCACCCGTGCAACTTAATAGATAAAGAATGTACACATGAAAACGTAACCTTTACTGAAAACATATTGTGATGTTTTTAACACTACACATGATGTAGCCCTTTAAGTCGTCGGGGCTTTTGAGTACACAATATTCGTGCTTTTCTCACCGTATGCCAAGTAATAAAAAATATAGTTGCTTGGAAGTCCAACCCTAGAACAAATAACATAAAGCTAGCTATGGAGAAGTCATATTGATGGCATCTATCGTTAGATGATTGTTCCTGTTTTGTTGAATGTCTTGACAAA